TCCTCGAATCCAAAACGCTCTGAAGCATAACTAACTATGATTTTCGACATAGTACTTAAACGGGTATCCACCAAGCCTTTTGAAATTATCTTTAGAATTTCGCTAATATCTAAATCAAAGTCGTGCCAAGCTTTTTTGTCTACGGCCGCAGGCCATTTGATCTTTTTCCGAAATGTCTCTGATGGTAATTCTGGAGATACTTGTGCCTCTGCTTGGAAGAACTGGACTCTGTGGTGAGCTTCCCGGCCCTGCATTTCCTGCGTCTCATCAAGAGAATTTCCTGTGCGCTGCAACTGGCTAGTTTCAATTGGCATTTCTATATAGATAGTCGAGCAAAAACACGCCGCACATGTTCTGACGATTGCCTTTAAGCATGAAACAGATTGTCTCATCTGTGTGTTGAGTTCATTATATATAGGAATAAATAAAAAACGAAAACATTTAATGTTGTCTTCATTTATATTATCTTTTTAAAAATATATATTATTTTTATCTGAATTTTTACACAAACACATATATATATATATATATATGTGTGTGTGTGTGAATATAGACAGAGCTCTCATCAACCGACTAATAAGGATGATGGGTAGTCTGTTACAATCGATTATCTATAGATGGGAAGGGATTATTTTTGAATTATGGACCACTGTTTTATCTACCAGTAGTAATGTATCGTACTTTATATACCGTACACCCGTCTTTATTTACAATAGAAAGGCAAGCCACCGCCACCATCCCTATTGCAGATGATTGTTCAGGCAAATTTGCATTTATTTATAAAGCAATTGTGCTGAGCAAATCTTAGTTATAATTTTTGGGAACGAGCGTGTTATCTAGCGGGATTATTTTGATAAACGCCAGCACGTCTTGTGACTTCGTGTAATTGGTACACGGTTTTGTCTAACCAGCTTTAAAAGGTTCATCAACTCATCAGTCTGGCTTGACATGTGATTGCCTCAAGTCTGATGTCGAAACCGGACCGCCGAAAGGGAATATTTAACGCATTATATACGATATATTAGCATTAGTTGGTACAGTATATGGCGAAGAGATTTTAGCATTAATCAGCAGTAGCCGACAAATTCCCTACTTCCAAAATGACCAACCTGCGAAAGGGAACATATAGTCATCCACACATAAATTCTTTCGGTGTATCACAGCTTATCAATGTGTCTCGGCCTGCGATTGCTTCAAACTGGGATAGAAACCCGTCCGATTTGACATTAGTCGAAGACTCTCACATAAACAATCATCTACGGAGATATATATATATATATATATATATATATATATATATATATATATATATATATATATATATATATATATATATATATATCAATGAAGATTAAGACGAATAGAACGTGGAGGAAACAACATAATCTCAAAACGGTGTGAACATTTGCTAAATGATGAAGCAATGATTAACTTTCCTGAAAAATATCCCTTCCAAAAAAAATCACAATCCATTTACAAATATAGAAATGAAATAAAATTCCTACTACGTTAACTAAATCCATATCAGAAACAAAGACCTAAATAAAATCCTATAAACAAAAGCTAATAAACTTTATTTAAATCCAAAAACATGGAAACAAAGAAAAGTACACGAATGGAAATTATACAATACTTATAAATAAAAAAATATGTACACGAATAAAATTATAAATACATATATTAGCAGGGTAGACATGACTCTATTGAAACACCGAATCAGCATACATAAGCGACTTCAGTGCAATATCTATAAATGAACCCGAGCGCTAGTCTTAAAGAATTTAACTGGATGGGACTGGTGTCTATTTTAAACTCAGAAGGAAAAGATGGGAAAGATTGATTGGTAATACCGATAAGCTAGATAAGGCGTTGAAAACAACTTTCATTAACATGTTTAATGCTAAAATAAAGGAGAGTAACTATTTTCGCATTATTAGTCACACGTCTTCAACTAATATGAAATGGAATGATTATATTGAATCTTCATAAATTGGAATAATTATATTGAATCTTAAGTCTTCTAGGATATATGCTTCATATAAAGTGGAATAATTATATTGAATCAATTATTAAGTCTTCTCCGAGGATATTTAGTTCATATGAAATGGAATGATTATATTGAATCAGATATTCGGTCTGCTGCTAGGAAATATGCTTCATATAAAGTGGAATAATTATACTGAATCAATTATTAAGTCTTCTCCGAGGATATTTGGTTCATTTGAAATGGAATGATTATATTGAATCAGTTATTAGGTCTGCTGCCAGTAAATATGCTTCATTCTGTTGTGCTAGACATTTTTATCATCAGAAATCTTTTCCTCGTTTACAAACATTCGCCAGTACATTGCGTATTGTTGGATGGATTTTCGTGCTATATATATCGAGAACCTGACAAAGTCCAAAGAAGTGCCTGTAATATTATTGCTTTGATCTGGTATTTTGATTTCTGTTAATTTTTCAATAATTTCTTTCATAGCAATTGTTCTAATGAGCGTTCATCTCTGGTACTTCAGCTACATGAATTTAAGGCTCCTACCAAATTCGAAACTAGGTCTCATTTTTTAAAAGATCAAATAGCTAGATGTAACCGTATGTTCTATTCTAAGACTATATTCTTTTGTAATTCTCGCCTGTGAGATTTTCTTCTGGTTTCTTGCTTCTCTGCATGAAATCTACGGTCCTCAATGTTTAAAATACATCATCACTGACCATCTTCAGTCTTGCTGAATCTTGTGTTTTATTGCCCTTTCTTCTTATTTGTGTCTTCTTATATCCTTTTGCTCTCATATCACCTTGCGTCTTAGCGGCCTTATCGCCTTACTTGTGGTGGAACGAATAAAAGTATGAATCTCGTTATTATTCCCGCTTATATCCACGATAGTAACATTTAAATAATCTTTGGTGCTATGGTGCTGATTTTCCTACTCGAGGAGACCGCCTATGTTTTAGTGCATTGATACAAATTAGGTGTAGTTTGGTTTATTTTACGTCACATCAGTCTCAGTGGGTTATTTAATGCCGACAAGATTTTTAGGATAGATGCATATCAATAGAATATGTATTCTTTCTAAGAAATTTTTTGTAAATCAGGTTTCATATTAAAGGATTTTTTTGTAATGTGTGTTTCTTCACAAATGGATTTCTGGTAATATTTTTTCTTCATAAATGAATTGCTGGACTTTTTACTCTGAAAACATATTTTTATAATTTCATATTAAATAATATATAAATCATATTAAATAATATATTAATATATTAAATTAAATTAATATATTAATATATTAATATATTAATTATAT